TGGGCCATCCTCCTCCTCATCATCATCATCATCAAACCCTCCACGTCGGCATTGCCGTTTTGCGCGCCCAAACTCATTACAGGGTCGTACCCGTACCGGATAACAGGGTCCGATCGCAACCCGAAAGCCAGCTCACCGCCATCCGCCATAGGACCCGGCGGGATCGTCGGAGGGTGATGGTGGCGAGGAGGAAGGCGGAAATCCGGCGACGAGAGGCGCAGATTGGACAGCTGTGATTCGATGCCGAGAATGTCGGGGTTTGGGTAAACCTCCGGCATGATGTTCCGGTGAAGTGCGGGGTTTTGCGGCGGTTGAGGAATCGTCCCCTGAAGGTACGGGCTTCTCAGTCCCCACTGACGACGCTCCATTGCCGTTACAGGAAAAACAATCGCCAGAGGAAAACAGGGTGTTTATGAGGTTCAAACTCCCCTAGCAGTAGTAGTCTTCTCAAGACTGAACTTGTCTTTTTAAATCAACCTTTGGGGTGTCATCCTTTTGGGTTCTATTTATGGAGTATGTATGAGTATGGATTTTTTTATATGAGTATCAAAATACTACCGTACATATTATATTGAGTTCCAAATTATATTGGAATTTTTCTTACAGTACTCCCTCCGTCACTAAATGTTGTTCCAATTGCAGATTACGAAGGTTGATCGACGATAAAGTTAAATGATCCATGTGAAAACTCGGATTATTTTTAGTAAATAAAATTTACATATTCAGAAACTACATTAAACCCGCTACAAAGCCTGCAAAAAATAATTCAACTTTTATAAAATTTTGATATAAAAAGTAAGAGTTTAAGAGTGATTTAAGTTTACTCTCGATAAGCGAAATGGAACTTCTTTTAGGGACATAGGGAGTATCTTTTTTTTATTTCAACTTTTGAGTTTGCCCCGCTTGGCATTAATTTACATGTTTTTTTAGTTGAATTGAAATTTCTTTGATCTGTTATGATTTAAGTTCGTCTTTGACCAAGTTTGATAAAAGTTTGATCTATGTGTATTTTTAACCACCGAAGTTAGTCTGATCTTGTTTGTTCAAATCTGATCTGATTTGATCTGATCTATTTAATTCTGATCTACTCTAGTCTGATTTGGACTGAAATAAGTTCAAATTGAAACAACTATATTTATGGAATATGGAGTAACATAAATAAATTCGATTTCAAATTTTACCACTACATCAGTCGCTAGTCGCTAGATAGTCATATGATTATTAAAAAAAGTAGAACTATGCCTTTAATATTGATTGATTAAAGCGTAAATAAAAGTATAAATTAAAGCGTAAAACTATTATTAACACCTGAGGTTATGGCATAATTATTAAAGTAACATTACATTTTCAAAAATCAATTAATTACTCCTATGTTTTGATCATTTTCACCGTTTGCCCCCTCATGTTAATATTTATTAAATTAAATTTAATATAACTCTTAAATTCAATAAAAATTATCTATAAGATTAAATTTTAAAGTAAATCACAATTTATTATCATAATTATAAGTTATTGTTATTTACCGTTATTTTTCTACTTACCTACTCAATCGTGGAATAATGAAAGTAGTTTAGGGAGAAGACTCACGAGTAAGAGATAAATATCATGAATTTATATTTTTTATTTTAAAAAATTAAATATCATTGAAGATTATTAAACTGATAAACTTTTTTTGAAGAAGAATTCATCAAAATTAGTATTAGTTAATAAAAAATAAAATAAATCAAAATCTATGATCGATATATATTTTAGTTCTTAGATTGATAGGTTTCAATTATTCAGACCGTATATCGATATATTTTTGCCTTTTTGGTCTCATATTAATACTAGATCAATCTTTTAGGTCATGGATTGATAAATTTTATATTTTCTTGGTTATTTGCTACACATAAAAGAAGTGTCATTGAGATTAATTCAGCCGGATAAATTACAAATAAGACTTTTATATTGATGATGAAGGAGTGTCTAGAATTTTGATAACACGTATTTCAAACAACTTTCTTTGTTATATCCCATGAATATTACTTTGCCCGGGACTCTTATGCCTTAACTACTTTGATTAATATTTATTTCACGATCAAATATCTAAGTACAAAAATAACGATAAAAACAATGACTCATAATTCATTATCATTATCATTACCCCAGTGCCGCAAAGGCTCCCACCTTCAATTCGGTGGGGTAAGGGGGGGTCGGATGTACGCAGTCTTACCTTTGTACTAAAGCACAAAGAGGCTGTTTCCGGATGACTTATAATTATGATAATAAATTGTGTTTTTACTTTAAAGATTAATTTCACAGAAATTTTCATTGAATTTAAGAGTTATATTAAATTTAATTTAACAAATATTAACACAAGGGGGCATATAGTGAGAATGATCAAAACTCAGGGGGTAACTAATTGATTTTTGAAAATGCAAGGTTGCATTAATAATTATGATATAACCTCAGAGGGTAATAATAAATTTCCCAATAAAAATGAATTGATACAATACAAATAGTATTAAATGTTGTATGTAAACAAGCTAACTATGACCTGTGAAAAATGAAAAATAGAACAAAAGCAAAAAAGTATAAATTACAAGCTCAATCGCAATTTTTTGCGCTCATATATTAAGAATATATTAAAAGGCTAAAGAGTCAAATAGGTACATGAACTAACTTAAAGTGTTCAATTAGCCCCTTATATAAGAGGTTCTGCCCGGCCGTCGCCAATTGAGGCGGTTCCCGGTTGAATTGTTTGATAAATTTTTTTGAGCATCTTGTTCATTAAGTCTAGTTTACCCATATCAAATTTCAGCTAAAAATTAAATCGGGAAGGCAGTCAAATGATTTTCCAAAATGTACTGTGTTGTTTAACTGCACAGTTATCTTCAAAAAATAATTTGACTGCCTTCCCGGTTGAATTTTTAGCTTAAATTTGGAATGGGTAAACTAGACTTAATGAAAAAGATGTTCAAAAAATTTCATCAAAAAATTCCACCGAGAACCGACCCAATTGGTGACGTCCGGACAGAACCTCCTATATAAGGGGCTAATTGAACACTTTGAGTTAGTTCATGTACCTATTTGACCCTTTAGCCTATATCACAATAACCTAAGTTATCACCATTTTCCTCGAGCAGGAAAAAATAAGTAAATTATAAAATTAATTAAAAGAAAGAGTAAAGTATGAGTTTTCGAAAAAAAAGTGTTGTACAATTTCAAAACGAAGTATGGTACTTTCTATGTACTACATTAACTTTCATTTTGCAATGGAGAGAGTAATTGATTTTTCTAAAGGTTAAAAGTAATTCATCATTTATTATACTACACCTATTATATTATATATTATGTTTTCAAGTTAAATGTCAAATTCCTTAATTGGAATGAGACTCAAACGTGTGAGCTTCACTTTGAAAGATCAACAGTGTTGTTATCAGATCACAAAATGGTTGATGATTTATTATTAGCAAATCAATATATATATATATAAGAGGAACTTTTCAAGAGCATACGGTGTGCCACATAATCCTGCCATGTCATCATATAGAATTATCATTTAATTACTTTCTATATCTTTTATTTTCTTTAGAGTATTACGTTTTGTATACCATCTAATATGGTAACTCTTATTTGTATAAAATCTGATATTATTCGGCACTTATAAATCTGATTTTCTTTAGAGTATTACGTTTCTATATTGATTTTAGCAAACTTTTAGTATATTTTATTCTGTAACTCTTTTAGTAAACTTTTAGTAAACTTTTAGTATGTAGTATATTTATTAATTTTAGTATTACGTTTCTATATTGATTTTAGCAAACTTTTAGTATATTTTATTCGGTAACTCTTTTTTGTATACCATCTTATTTGTTAACTTTGGAGTAAACTTTGAGTTTATTTTAATGTTTCTAAATTTAGATTTAGAAACATAAAAACTACCTATAGTGCATATGTAGGCTATTATAAATATACAAAGAGAATGTAAACAAAAGTGTATTTTTACTATTGGCTTTCTCCTTAGTTTGAAGAATTCTATTGCTTAGTGTTCTTATATCAAGAATGTCATCACAGTAAGCTTCTACAACATTTTTAATGATATACTCCGTATTATTCAATAATACGTACATATGATACTTTACCATTCACATGTTTATGATACATGATATTATTATGCATTATACCTGATTATTTAATATTCCATAAACGTGTTTAGTTTTTTGGGCTGAGCTAAACATATTACTTGTGAAAATACATACGTATTATGGAGTATATATATATTTATATAATCAAAAGTATTCTTTTTCAATGATTCCATATATGAACATGTCATAGTATAAATTCCGTTTTGAATTTAAAAAATCATGTGACTGCATTTTTCATCATTCGAAGGTAACAAAGAAAGAGTATTATGATACTTTACCATTCACATGTTTATGATACATGATATTATTATGCATTATACCTGATTGATTAATATTCCATAAAATGCAGAAGTTATTCTCTAATACGTCAGCTTGATACATCCAAGTCCGACTGGACAATCAAAGTTCGTGTTACACGCCTCTGTGATGTCATCAATCACAAAAGACAAGGAAACTTAATTTGTCTAGACATGGTTCTTATGGATGAAGAGGTATACTTTTTCTCTTAATTTCAACATTACATTTTTGACTTTTTTGGCAAGATTACAATTTTGACTTTGTCACTAACTTTTATGTCCATTGAATTTGCAATTTGTGATTTGATGAGTTTGGATTGTTATTTATTGGTACCTAAACCAATAAAAACATTCGAGAGTCATGTCATGATCAAAATTACGACATTTAACCTAATCCAGATTAGAAAATTATAGTCCAATTAAAAACATTTTGAGTCATGTCATGATCAAAATTAGTAAGGCTAGAGTTTCATCATTGAATTTGCTCAAGCAAACTATTTTGACTTTTTATCAAACAACTTTTTCTATATTTTATTAAGTATAACTTTCATATTTAGCAAATATAAAAATTCGAACATTCCACTCGTAATTTCAACAGTTTCAATACACTGCGTAAATTCAGCCTTTTTTATCCTTTACGAAACAAGTATTTGTAGTACACAGCTATTAAACTATACTCTTTCCTCGCAAAAAAAAAATAAACTATACTCTTCAAATCAACTCACAATTCAAATTAAAAAAGTTTTTTATAAAAACAGATTCAGACAGGTCAGCGTATTCGTATATACATATATAACCAGTTTGTATTTGGATTTTGGAGTAAAAAGCGCATTGCTTTCTATTTTCAACAAATTACAGCCAACGTCATTCTATCTTTGACTGCCATCTCTACGCTGCTTCTCAGTCATGGAACGTGGCTATGGCAGCTCTGCCATGATCAAAATTTTCAAAAGACTCACTTGGAAGATTGTTGGCACACGTTCTAGCCTTCTAAGCGTGAAAATCCACTGGCACTGAGCTTGCTTTGACCACCACCATGGCACGATATAAGATAGGCGATGAAGCCCACATATCCCGAGGCCACCATAAACACCACAATACCAAAAACAAATCCATGAACCTGAGAAAGGAAGAAGCTGAGCATAACATACCCATTGATCATTATTACCATGGCTGCAATACTCCAAACAATCCTCTGTAGCACATAAGAAACAATCAGGTATGGCAGAAAATTCAAAGGACAAAATCAAGAAAATAAGGCAATGTATTTTGCAGTCATGAACATCCTTGCACTCCTGAAATGCTGTGTACTGCCATGTGCCATGTCCAGTTCCGTTCTTTTCCTACACTTTTTCCCAGTTTCAAACTGGAACCGTCCTGTTCAAAACTGGGACCAGCTATTCAGGTTCTAGATTTTCATAAAACCAAACCAAGCTAGTCAGGGTTCCAAACGGTTCCTAGACCACGAGTTTGGTTCTGTTCCCGCTGCCTATTCCAGTTTAACTGGGAAGAGTGGAAATATTTAGTCAGCAATGGTCAACCGAAGTGACCAGAGGCGTGGTGGACACGATATGTGGGGTTGGCCAGCGGCGGTGGTCATTGAATCAAAGAGCGGGTAGAGGTATTTTTGTCAAACCATCTACTTTAAATAATTGAGTTTTCCTAGTCCTATTTGTAGAAAGATGCCAAGATTCAATCCTATTTGTGGCATTTTGTTTTACCTCAATCGTGGTTCCAATTTTGAAGACTCCCATGATCCGCTCATTTGACACCAGTGTCAAAAGAGGTATTATCGCGAATGGTATCTGCATCCCTTGAACCACATTAAGCCATTCATTTAAGGAATCCAATGAATCTTGAGACCTATTGAACACAACAGCAACCACAATGGTTGGAATGATAGCACAGCTTCTGGTTATCACTGATCTAACCCATTTCTTCATCCTTAGATTGAGAAAGCCTTCCATTATGAACTGTCCCGCGTATGTACCAGTCATGGTACTACTCTGTCCAGCAGCCAGAAGGCCAACACCCCATATGTACAAAATCGGGAATGACCCGCTGCCATATCTTTCTTGAAGGTACTGCCCTGCATTTACAAGCCCTATATTCTCTGCCCGAGAAGTTCCATAGAACCCCTTGGCAAAAATAGTTGTCACCGCCAGGTTTAGTGTGAATGAGACAAGAATGGCTGTGGAGGACTCAATGGTGTAATAGTTCAGAGCCTCTTGCACTTTCCCTTTCTTGGTTGGATCAATTTTTCTTGACTGCACCAATGCAGAGTATAGGAACACATTATGGGGTGTAATCACACACCCCACAACTCCAACCGCCTTTTGGATTGTGTTTGCGCTAAGCCTTGGTAGAAAAAGACCTAACATGAGTTCTTCTCCACTCGGTCTTGTGTCTATAAACATCCATGCAAAGGACAGTGCCATTGTTGTCATCAAAACAGCGAAAAATGCTTCTAGCTTCCGCACTCCATAGTTTTCAAGAAACAAGAATATAAAACTGCCAAAAGAAAACAAGGAAACCCAAACTTAATACAATATTTTTCCGAGTAAGTTCTTGTATCATAGTCCTTGACATCTTAAGACTATATTGTGCTTCAAATATTTATTATATGCAAGTGAAATAATGTTTGGAAACAATGTTAATGAATCAAAATAAAAACATGCATGAATTTGGATTAATTCAGCTCAGATCAGTTCGGCCAAACCAAGCCAAAATGCCCACTCTCTCACACTTATCTATTAGTCATCACAAAATTACCTGATTTCTTTACCCCAACAAGTACTGTGTGTAAGATTGCAGACATTATAAAATTAATCATGAAAGCACAAAAACGTGCCACCTTTGGGTCAGATTTGTCATGGTGTTATGCAGCCGACCCGAGTTTAGAAACTAGGGACAAAAATTTGGGTTGCATCCAACCCGTGCTTAGTCCTACTGTCCTAGATTATTGTAAGGACTAAGGAGTATTCAGTATCTCAGAAACTGAATTGAGACGATTATTATACCTCGAAAAGCAAGTGAGAGATTTACCAATCAAAGGCAGTGATTAGGACTCCACCCCAGATAGGGACGAAGCCATTGCTGAGAATGTTGATGGCAATAGCGCTGCCAATCACTTCTTGTATATCCGCCCCAATTAAGGCCACCTCAGCCATGAACCAAAGAAGAATCGAGGCCCAGTAGGGATACTCCTCGCGGCTGAGCTCGGCTAAGTGGCGGCCGGTGGCGACGCCGAGGCGGAGGGACAATAGCTGGATTACAAGGCCCATTATGGTTGACCACATCAAGAGCCATAGGAGAGAGTAGCCGGCAATTGCACCGGCTTGGAGGTCTCCCTCAAGGTTCCCCGGATCCAGAAATGCCACGCTCATCAACAACCCTGGTCCGGCGAACTCCAATAGCTTCCTCCAGGAGAACGGCGGCGGGACCTGCCCCGTCGAATCCACAGCCTCAATTTCGATTCCCGTGACTTTCTCCTCATCACCAACATAATCAGACGGCAAGAGATGGATGGATTCTCCGCCGGCGGCGTCTTCATGATGCAAGGTAGAATTTTGTTCCGGCGGTAGTGAGCTTGTCGTGCCATTGTGCATCTCGGCACACGATGTGTTTTCCTACGAAAAAGTAAGATTCGGCTCGAAGATTGAAAAACAAATCCGCCATTTTCTCAAGTTCGATCATAAGTCAAAGTTTATTAACAAAATAAACTTTGACTTATGGGCCAAAGCTAAACACGCTGGGAAACAGGGATCGAAACTATTGGGTTCGGGTTGGGGATGGAGTTGGGTCAATCCGTTTATAAATCAAAGTCAATTTCACATTTATTAAGAAAATAAAGTTATTGAAGGATAAATTTTATTCTAGAATACACTATTTAAACACTGTTTGACATTATTTTGTGCTATTTTATACTGTTTTGATATAGATTTCGTTGTCAAATATAGAAATGTGACTTTGTTTTGAAACATTTAAAAAAGAAACTGTGACTTTGATTTAGAAATGGAATGAGTAAAAGTTAATTGATGGGCTCCGACTTGGGGCCAAGCTTTTGTAATAAAATTGTAGCTCCAACCCGTCAGTTTGACTTAAAGAGCCAAATCGGGTTAACCCACATGTCACTAATTGAATCAGTCCTAAGTGGACTTACAAATTACAAGAAAAGTATAAATTTCCATTATCCATTACCAAATGCTCTATAATATAATCAAGTAAATGAACGAACAAAATTTATTATTGCAAAACGTGTAGTAATAAAGTGAAAGTTCAAATTATTTATATCTAGATTTTTAGTGATACATTCTTGAAAAAGAGATGTACAATTACAGAAATACCATAATTATTCTTTTTTTTTTAAACTTCTCAAGATCTATCGTAAGTTTTTATCACCTAAACATCACCCATAACTTTATTTTCTTGTACTATTACTTATTACTTTTATATATTACTAATTATAAAATTAGTGAATAAAATTAATAATGTAAAAAAGAGATTATGTGTTGGGCTCAATTTTGCTTGGAAGGCCAGGCCCGCATGGGCCGCATGGGTCTTGGCGGGTTGGGCAATGTGCTGGGGTAGGTTTCAATTTCACCCACACAGGTAGCTCAGTTGGTCGAGTGGTGGGAAATTTGGATCAATGGACCAATGTTCGAATCCCGCAGCGACCGGGTAGATGTTACGGAATCAGAAATAAGGTCAGGCCTCTGGCGCGCACGGGTGCATGGGCCTACTGCCACTTTGTTGACTGAGTCACCGTGACTAACCTCCCCACCATCCTGTTGGGTCGGGATGGGGGAGCTCCTAGGGTGGGAGATTCCACCTTTTGGGATAACTAGGGTAGGTTTCAAATACTCTACCTCACACCCATCCCTTAATGGTGGGTTGGGCCAACGTGCGACCCTTATGGGCCAGACTAATTTTTTGTTAAATGAGATGTGCAGGCGTTCCCACGGGTTCATTGGCCCACAGCTAGATGATGATGCTAAGCGGGTATTTGGTTTTCCATTTTTGTTTTTTCTTTTATTTTATTCCCTCAGTATTTAAAAGATTACCACACTAGAGTTTGACACAATATTTAATGGAAATAATATGGGTGTTGAATTGTGTAGAAAAAGTAGGAGAGAATATGCAAAGTAGAAAATAAAATATCAGAAAAGTAAGAGTAATTGAGTTTTAAACGAAAAACCTACCCCAAAAGGGAAAATGTAGCAAATAAAGCATTCCAGCTCAGCTGGTCGTTAGGTTACCATGCCTAGTGGGAGGTCTCGAGTTCGAAACCCGTTAGGCATATAAGGGTTTGAAACTCAATGGAGTGAGTTTCAGCCTTGATTACTCCAGGCTCCCTCCAGCTCCTTCCCCCAGACCCTCTGAGTAAAAAAGGGGGAAAATGTAGTAAACTTTTATATACATCCCAAATAAGAAAATGTATCAAACTTTTAAATACATACGTTTTTTCTGTGTTATGTTTGATTTCATTTTAGAGACTCATTACGACATCAAAATCATACTCATAACACTATAAAAAGAAAGTAATTAAAAAATTATACTTTTAGCATTTCACATTTAATGCTTAATTAAGACAAATTAACCGCATATAATAATATCCATAGCATTACATTATTAATTTATTATTCTAAATTACTCTAAATTATTAATTTTGAACCTAGATTATTAGTATTAACCTGGTCGGTTTGTGGCATTTATGTTTAACTTTTACATTTATAAGTACCGGAAATTGATTAATGGGTAAAGACTGAAAACAAATGAATATTTAACAATTGTGCTTATTTTACAAATTTAAAATTTGGTTTTCCTTTTTAATTAAAAATAACAATGATAGAATGAATGTTTTTTTTGGCAGAATGATAGAATGAAAGTTGGAATACTAAGGTTATGATATTATTAGAAATCAATTGCCTGTCACTGGAGAAGCCGAGAAGGATCTCCCCTGTGTGAAGACTTGGATGATTCTGATGAGCTCCTCAATTAAGTGGAGAAGGTGATTCTGTACACAAAGTGAAGACTTCGAAAATTTTAATGTGAGTTGAGACTTGGCCATTCTGGCCGTTTGACGCATTACACAGTTAAGATATAATTAAAGAAATTTTGGATCAACATAAAAACAAATTACAAATTATAGGGTCTAATATGGAAAAGAGCCTTCTCAAATCATATATAAGTAAAATTTACAAGACCTAAAAAGTTTCAATATTTTGGACTCAAAGGCAGTCGCCCTTTCTTACACAGTTACACTCCTAGAGCAAGCCCAATTATATTCTGCTTACAATTATTAAGAAATAATTTCTAAAACAATTTTGGGTTTTGGTTTCGGCTCCTACCCCAATTATATTTCTCGTTCGCTGGAACTCTTGTTTGTGTGCTCAAACACTAAGCTAGTTCGTAGTCATCGTATCCTGGGAAACGATTGTTGTAACGCTCCTAGCACCGTGGGAGGCAACATATACGTTTTAAGGACATCGTGCGTAGCACGAGCTTTGACTAATTCTGCTTCATCTCCTTTCTTGTTTTTCTCTAGTCATTTTATTTAATTAATTAATTTTAATTAATTTTCTTTATTTTCCGAAACACACACAACAAGAACTGGCAGCAAAAAAACACAAACATTTGGGAAGCGTGATGTATAATTTAATTAAATGCATAATTGTTAAGACACGGGGCCCCTTATGAAAAATGATGACACGATTATAAAAACGGCCGGATAAAAAAAATGGACCGATAAAAAAATGAATGATTGCACGACCCAGACGAAGTGTCTGGTCGTGAGGAGGACTACTCCTCCTATCAGGTTGACCTTTTAGGATGGAACCCCGAGTCTTAACAATAACCGTCCTTATATTTTTCCAAGGCATTTACATTTAAAGGTACTTATACACATTATATATTTAACCCTCTGTTTAATAGCATGTGAAATTTTGAAAAGCCACATACTACGTATATAAGTATGTTGAAATTTTATCGAAGTCACACAGTCGATACTATTTGTTTGGTAATGTGAAGATAATATTTCTTTAGATATTCACTTATTCGAGGATGAAAAGGTAAGACATGGGGATTGATCTCTCATATGAGTAAATTCTTTTTTTAATAAATATATACGTACTCCGTATAATCTACTACAGTCATTCAAGTGCACAAATATTTGGAATCTTTTGTATTAGTTCCGTCTCAGGGACAAGTTCTCACTTTCCTTTTTTGGCAGTCCCAACAAAAAGTTCTCATTTCCCTAAATGGAAAATTATTCTACATCAAAACAGTGCCAAACAGTGTTGAAACAGTGCCAAACAGTGTCGAAACAGTGCCAAACAGTGTCGAAACAGTGCCAAACAATAAAATTTACCCCTCAGTAACTTTATTTCCTTAATATGTGTGGAAGTCAACTCGGGAACTTCTCCCTGGGACGGAGGGAGTATTTAACATACACGCATCTTACTAATTTAGGATGTTTTTACTTGGAATGTAATTTGCTGGTCTGGTCTGGTCTGGTCTGGTCTGATCTGGTCTGGTCTGAACTGGTCTGGTAAGGTCTGGTTTCTTTGTATTTTTATAACTATTCAAGTCTGGTCTGGTCTGATCTAATGTGGTCTGAACTGGTCTGGTCTGGACTGGACTGGTCTGGGACATTCTACAATCCAAGTAAAAACATTCTTATACGTATATTGGCTATTATCTTTTGCATCAATCAGTATATGCATGTAGGTATTTAACATCAGATCTGTTTGACTGTTTTATACTCCGATCCGTAGCAAATTCTTGAAAATAAATGCACCATGTGGTTTTTCATTCTGGAAAATAAGTAGTTAATTTGAGAATGAAGACGTACTACACTTAAAAAAAGGCCTAATATGTACATTTGCTTGATTTTTTGTCCTTAATAATAAGTTAATAACAAATACTCAAGTGGTTATCTGCCACATTGTCTATCATTCCAATGTCCGGCCATTGGCCTGGAGGACGAAGGTCGAGGACGATCACCATATACTAATCTAGCTTAGAGCCATAAAAATTAGAAGATACTTCGTACAGTCCATGTAGGTGTATTAATTAATGTTAACTTTTTTTTTGAAAAGTGTATTTACGCAAAGAATTGAATAGAAAATGAAAAGTAAACCAAAACTTACTCTTCTTGAATTGATAGATCTAAGCAATGTGCATTCTTTATTTTGACACGCCCATTTGATTTTTGATCTTCATCCGACATTCTAATTAATATTATTGATATCCTATTGGGTTTCTATACTTGGACTTTTAGATTTTCTAAATTAGAGAATAAGTTATGGGATTCGAAGGGTAGATATTTATGAGGATTTCAGCTAGATTTCTTGCTCAAGTATTTGAGATGGAGAAATTGGGTAAAATACATCGTACATCCGGTTGTACCGTGCGCACGGTACAACCGGCCTTTTTAAAGCTTTTGCGCTCTTCTCGCCCTAGCAATGGCTTCTCCGATCTTCTGTCCCTGCGTCTGCGCTTCTGTCCCTGCGTCTGCGCTTCTGTCCCTGCGTCTGCGCTTCTGTCCTGCTTCTTCAATTTTGCTGACTTCTTCTCTCTAATCTCGCGCACCAGGTAGACCACTCCTCTCGCCGCTCTCTTCTCCTCAAATTCCCCTGCTGCGCAAGAGAGGGCTACTCTTGGGGATTTCTTTGTTGGCCCGTGCTGCGAGAAG